GATCGGCTCTCTCCTCCCCCCCCCTCTCTCTCTCTCTCTCTTTCTCTCCTTTGACGCGAAACGGTCGGAATTACGAAAGCACGCGAGTAGCCTATGTTGGCCCAAGGAACATATAATTCGTGCCACCGGGGTCTAGACCTTATCCGCGTAGAAGTTAGAACGAGCATTCCGTTGCACGACAGTGATAAAAGTACACTCTCGCCTACTTGGCGCGGAAACGGGATGAACGAGCGGCCGACGGCGTCTACCAGCCCACTCCTCGCCTATGTAACAATAGGACCCTCATGAATCTTCCATCGTAGATGACGGGACATGTGATCACCTACTGGAATGGAGCGAGATTGCACAGACGAAACTAATTTCACCCGAGGAGAAAACGCCCGTAATTCTCGCCCCACGAAACACAGGTGTCTGATCGTCACCTCCCATTGGCATCGCATTTAATCACGAAAAATCCGTAAAGCTCTTTTATGGAGTAGCTGCAGGTTGACTGGCCGCGCATTTCTCGGAACTAAGACTTGGACCAAGTTCCAGCATCGTGGACACAGGCCTTTAGCGCGCGCTAAGTGTGCACCAGTGCAAGCAACCGAACTTGCTATTAGTTTTTCATATCGCTTTTCGTATTGTTCAGACGGTTCGGGTGATTTCAGCGATCGCTCTTCGTAGAGTCATGAAAAGGTCGCGGTCTAACAAGGTAAAACTGTGTACTCGAGTACTATCAGAAATTTATGGACCGATGGCTGTCGTAATAAAGATCGAAAACGGCGAGGCGTACGGCTTCCCTGAAAATATGGGAATACGTTCTATATAAACGGTTTCACTTCCCCATTTTCAACGCAGTCTACCAGCCATTAATCTACGATCTACACTTTAACGCAGGTTCAGAAGCGACCGAGTGGGGAGACAATGGCATATGTATAGACCGGTTGTCCCAGTAACTCTTCGTCGTGCGATTTCCAGCGAAACTACCACGGCTACTATCGACTTGCTCCTGTTTTCGAACTCTATCACAGGCGCCTCCTATTGGACACAAACAAATTTCGCGTAGCTCTTAAAGAGCTTAAAGGGGTCTGCTCGGAACAGCAAAAATGAGCGTTTCCCTCCACCGCGGAAACGAATGAAGTAAAGAGCATGGAATATATAACGCGCGCGAGTCTCGCGTATAAAACTGACGAGACTTACTTAGAAAAAAGAAACTGGAGACTGTGCTAAAATTATGATTGATCGAATCTTCTTTTTGTGAGCTGCGCGCGATCG